CCTCAAACCTTAATACGGTGGATTTAAACTTTAATTTCTTATCGCTAGTTATCAATCGATTTAGTTTATTGTACATATTATTTCTGTGTTGGATGTAGAACGTCGTTTGGTATCTCGAAATAATTTTGTTTTTACTTTAATATTTTATTACCGATCCTTTTGTTTTTCAAAATTCCCATTTTTTTTTTTTTTTTTATTTCAATATTTTTAGTGCATGTCCATAAGGCTTTTAGGGCACACGAATATCTAAGCATTATTAATAAACCATATTAATCTAGTGGGAAATATCTATTAGAACACACACACAATTTTTCGAAAAGATAACTTTTCGAGTATATGAAATTCGGACAGCTGGTAACACTCAGCCGTAAATAAAAATATATACGTTTTATTGTTTTCAGGCGACATATAGACAACAATTTATACTTTAACGGCTTCGCTTGATTCTTTTGTCATGAACTGCCTGGCGAAACGCTACTATACGGAGATTTCGAGTAGTAAATGCGATTTTCGTACCGTTTGGCCATCGTATAGTATCGTAATAGAATCATTTTACGCGCATTCGTGGACGATATTTTCCAAATTTTAATCTCTATTCCTTTCGACCTCTTGTGCCCTCTACACACGATAATATATAGTCAGCTAAAATCGTAATAGTTAGTATTGCAGCTATACTCTGATTCTATGCCAGTGGCGCCGAACATGGAGTACAGGTCGGGTGACCGCCCGATCAAATTTTTTGATGGTGGGTGCGTGGGTGGGGCTAGTGGTGGCAAATATACATAGTATGAGTAGGTAGTATTTGTAGAAAATATAACTATAGTAAATAGTACTATGAGTAATGCGATATATTACACTAAAAGAAGACCAGTAATGCCTCGTTTGCCCGAGTATTTTTAAATTACTTCGGTGCCACTTATACTATCGTGTCAGAAGAAGCTTACCTATACGATTATATTATGGTAGAATGACGATAGTACGAGTTTTGGCCGTATTGACAGTAGAGTGAGTTTCGATAGACCCGTTTGTGTATGCGCGACACAGTAGAAAATGTATTTATATGCCCCAGTTGATAAATCAAAATTCGAAAAAATTATACGCATATTTTTTTTTTTTTAAATTTTAACATATAAATACTAATATATCGACGAATTCAAAATAATCGGGTGGTTATTTGACTATAGGTACATAGAAATTTGGAACTCGAACCGTGTTTATAATACGGCAAAGATATATTATTCAGAATTACGAATATTGTTTTGAAAAGATTATAAATAATAAGATTATACAAATGCGTGACAGTGATTAATTATTTAAAAAAAAAGAAAACTCCCAATTACAAATCGACTCGAAATCGTTGTATACACATTTTACAAATTACGATATCAATTTCGAATATAAAACGTAGGCCGATTTAAAAAGAAAAAAACAGTATAAATAGTAAAGGATTAAGCCGTAAAATATATTAAATTGATAAAAGACTCCTAACGGATTTCTTTTGAATTTAAAACGGTTAATTTAGGATGCGGGCTTTGTTAATAATTATTGTCAGCCGCATAAAGTAGTAATGATTAATATTAATGTTGTTTTTTGTTTTTTTTTTTGTTTTTACACAATACTATTTAACGCTAGTCATTGTAGTCTGATTAATCGATTACAATGATCAGCGTTCGGTGTTTAACCGCGTTATTATCATCATCGTTTTACCGAAAGTGATAAATATTCTCGATAATAATCACGCAACAAAACCCGCGCGCGAAAACACGACGCTATACGTTTTTTTATTATCCTGGTAATATATTTATTTTTTTTTCAATAAATGGGAATTAACGAGAAAGTTTGCGGAATTAACGGTTTCGTTATTTTCGATTACGTTTCATTGTAATTTGGTTGAGTAACTATACAAATTAAATGTTCACAGAATTCGTATACAAGTGGTTTTCTGAATTTACAAACACTGGCGATTTTGAAATGTTTAGTTTTTATTTGGTTTTATGTGTACAAAATTGTTTTGGCGGAACAGAAATACTTGAACGTTTTACATAAGGTTCATTATTAGTCGTATTTAGCGGCCAAATAGAAATAAAGTTGAGCGTAACATAGTAGTTTTTTTTATCAGCCTTTTGAGTTCCAATTTTGATAAAAATCGTAAAACTCGCGGCATTTCAAAAACACGTTTAACTGAATTCACTCAGTATCGTATTTCATGAATAATAATTCAACATGCGTACAGACATTAAATTAGTTTTTGTTTCCTACTTACCCAACTTTCCACCCACAACAGTGGCACACTCATCAACAGTATCAGCTATTTCTTTCCGGTTACTAAAAAACTGGACGGTTTCTATGGGATTTAGTTTAATTCACTTTTGGCCGTTTCTGATTTATAAATCAGCTATGTATGCGATTCTAAATCATATTGAATGAGTTACTTTCAAAATATTTTAAAATCTAATTGGTAAAAAGTAATTTTTTAGTTGTTTTTTGATTTTTGTGTATGATACAGTATCAGTGTGTGTATAGTATGTGTATAAGTAATTATTATATCGATATATATAAATCAATACATTTTTATATAGAATCAATTTAACATGAAAAAGGGCATAATTTCATAAGAAAATAAATGCAAGAGTTATTAAGTAATTTTTTATATATTCTCTAAAGTAACTGTCTTTAACTTGAGACCTTAAAGATCTCTTAAAAACCGTATAATTGTTCAAGCTATAGGCTAGGTTGGGGTATCTTAAAGTATGTATATTTTAACAAGAGGATATTTTTTTTGAACATTTTTCTAGATTTCTAAAATTTTTTTAAAATTAAAATTAAAATAATATTAATTCTGACATCTGAACAGATTATACAGGTAATTGTTATATTTGATATTATTGTAATATTTTTTAATAAAACCATGTCAATACATTTACTATCCAATTATTATAATTTCAGATTAAAAATGTCTAATCGCTTAACAAGTAGAAGACCTACATAATTGATAATTATAATTAAATAATAATGAAAAAAAAAACTGTACTACTATAGACTATCGTAGTTCATACAAGTAGTTTAGATTAGGAAAATAATCATAGTATTATAATTTTCTCTACGTTTAACATTAAAATAATATAATATCATAGAGTCAAACGAACGGGTACAGTTATTATTCGAAATCAATTTTTGGTAATTTATCAATACCTTTAATTAAATAATTTTGTAATATTTTGGTACTAAATAAGTACTGTTGCATTTAAATATAAAATTGATTCGTTTGAGGACTTGGGCCAATAAACTCAGATTTATAAAATAAAGCCATGTCGGATTGGTTCTTTTTTCGTGTGCAGTATGTTAATATGCGATCGGGCCATTTTACTGAGAACGGTTATTATCATTCTCGAAGAACTGTACCACGCCATAGTCAAATAGTTACACAAAACATACCTAAACAAAATGATTCTACGATATTATAGTATAATTAAATAATTAAATTTAGTGGTTTAAAATTTAACAATTAAATTCGATTATTATAATATAATAGACATTACATTATAGTAGTACTTTTTATTTAAATAATGTCTACATAAGTTATAATTGGAGTAATTATTTGTTATTTATTCACTCATAGTTTCGTAGATACCTACTGAATTTTTATTGTATATTTTGTAAATCAAGAACAAATTTTAGTTGTATTTTAATATACAATTTTTTGTTTTGGAAATTAAAAATAACAAATAAAAAAAAAAATTTTAAAACTTCGATAAGGTAGTAGTAGTACATAAAGTTATTTAATTTATGTCCATATGCAATGATTTCTCATTGTTGACGAATTACTCGCTAAAACTAAATTATCGTACACTTGAAAATCATAGTAAGTTTTTGGTAGAAAAATTGTTTACAGAAAAAAATACTTAACAGTATAATAAAATCAATACATTTTTCGCTGTATTGAGAATCTAATAAAAACGTTTTAAAACTTACATCGCACCATGAATAGGCAGACACATATTAAGGAGGGTTTTTGGAATTCAAACCTCCCCCAAAAATTAATAGTTGTGTAATTTATTTTTATAAATTTAATATTTTTAGATTATGGTTTTACAAAGATATTTATTAATATTTTTTTTTATCTGTTTACAACTTTTCTATCAGAAGACTTGCTCGGATTTCTAAGTGTAACATATTTTCTGAAAAGAAATCGGTGTATGGAGGTACTTTAAGGAGATCATTTTTCGTTTTTCTCAATAGTTTTATCTTCAAATTTAAAAAACAGAAAAAAACGGGAAAATATAAGAAATGTAGGTATTAGTTAAAAAAAATTACGGCGTTCTTTTTTTCTGTGCACACATTTTTTACCAGCAGTTTATAATGATCAAACTTATATATATAAAATATATAGTAATAATTTTATTTATTTACGAGTATTAACCATTAATAACTTTGTTTTTACTTTATTATTTTATTAATAATTTTAATATGTATGTATGTATATGTATAACCAATTCTCTATAGCGCTTCCCTATAGTGAACATTTTTTAATACCCCATGGCTGTCCACTATAAAGAAGTTTCATTGCATAGACTATTAAAATAATATTTTTGCATTTTTTAGGACATAAAACGTCATACTTTAAGAGAATATAAATCTGACATATATAATATACAGTAGAATCCGCTTATTCGGGACACCACATAAAGGGGACAATCGCTTAATAGGGACAAATTGGCATAGTCCCGAACGAATGTATTCGTTTAAGGCAATTTAACTTCATTTATTGGGGACAAACCATCGGTTATAAGGGACAAAAATAAAAGCGTCTAACTAGGTATTCCGACCTAAATTATCTACTTTCTTATCGAAACTGTAATTATCTAATCTTTATGGCTCTATTATATTTTATACACGTCCGTATATATACAAATGTAATGCACGTTTATCTTTTACTACCACGATAAGAGTCAACTAGCCTACGTACAAAATCGAAAACCTTTAGTTCACGTTCTTTTGTCTCTGTGTATTAACGTATGTGTGTTTATTAAAGTTTTTATTGATCCCAGTTTGTGTTAATGCGTAACAATTATGTCTCGTAAAGATTTGACGTTGGTTGAAAAAATTTCCATTTTGGACAAAATTAAGGCTCAACCTCATAGTCTTCGTGAGTTAGAGAAATTAATAGGCACGTCTAAATCGGTACTAAGCCGATTGAAAAATAATGAAAAAGCTATTCGTGAACAATGGGAAAAATTAAACGACAGCAATAGTGCACCTGTAAACAGAAAAAGAAAGCGGGAAGGCAAAGATCCCGAAGTAGACAAAGCTATCAACGAATGGTTTTTCTGCTGTTACAGAACGTGGTGTTCGTATTTCGGGCCCCATGTTACAGCAGAAAGCTGAATTTTTTGCTGAAAAAATTGGACATGGTAATTTTAAGGTCACAGAAGGTTGGATGAGTCGTTGGAAGGATCGGAATAATATTAAATTCAAGCGATTTCACGGAGAAAAATCAAGTGCTGATTCAAACGGAGCTGATGAATGGTCTTTAACTAAATTACCNCGTTTAAGGCAATTTAACTTCGTTTATAGGGGACAAACCATCGGTTATAAGAGACAAAAATAAAAGCGTCAAACCTAAATTATCTACTTTCTTATCGAAACTGTAATTATCTAATCTTTATGGCTCTATTATATTTTATATACGTCCGTATATAAAATATACTTCACTAGATGTTTGTGCAGATTTTATCTATAAGCAAAGTCTTGATAAATTACAGCAAAGAAGAATGGACGATTTTCTGCAGCCTAACAAAATATGAATTAAGTATGTACATAATGTATTAAATAAATTTACGATATAATTATACTAAATAGTAAATATAATGTACAACTGCTAATAATAATAATAATAATATGTAATTTTTAAATAAAGTATGAATCAAGTATGTATATATTTTTTAAATAAAGTTTTTTAGTTTTTTTAAAGTTATTTTTTTTCGTCAGTTCGGCTAATCGGGACAGTCGGACAATGGGGACAAATAGGCTATCGCCCGATGTGTCCCCATTAAGCGGATTCTACTGTATAAATAATAAAAATTTGTAAGTTAAAATGTGCTGTTACTGTAAATCTGCACGACTGACAGTACAGCAACAGTAGCATCGATTTTATCTACTTCATCAGCGACATTGACATCCATTTTTTTTCAGCAACTAGCAGTATTGGCAGCAGTAGCATCAACTTTAAAACTATAAATTCTTATGTAGGGTATTGCAAGGTACTCGTACGTTCCTATTCGCAAACGATTTATGGATATATCATTAATATCGTTTATTAAACGTCAAACGGCAATTTTACATAATTCAACAGACCAGACAATGGGGTTTATGCGAGAAGTTTGAGTACAGTTTAGTGTAACGTGCTAAGCCGTAACAATTCGATTAAGTCAAATTGTTTTTCAAAAGCATACGCGCGCTATTATTTCGCCCGCAATATTTCTCTGCACGCGCGGTCGACACAATAAATGTTCACGCCTGTGGGAGATGAAACGTTGTCGGAGCGCGGTGCAATCGCTACGCGCTCCTCGCCGTAAACCGATCGCCGCCGTACATCGATTTGCCGACGGCAGCGCACTATAAATACGGTGGTCCGCGGCCGCTCCGTTTCATTTCTGCGGTGACTGCCGAGACGCTCGGACGTCTCTCCCCGTGCTACTGTCACGGCCCGCCGTTCACGGCGTGTTAAGCGCTATGGACCGAGTTGAAAATACAATACGATATTATATTCGACTCGGAGCGCGTCGTTCGTGGCGCATGTGACGCGCCAGAAACTGTTGAAAACGGCAGCGCGCACATTAGTCTTTCCTGTAAACCGTAATACCCCGCGACGGCCGAGACTTTTGTGTTTTTACACGCGCGTGTGGTGCATCACAAGGGTTTTCCGTAGTTTGTAATATTTTGTTCTACCAAAACCCATCGGTTTCTCGTAGATTAGTCGACGTAATCACAATTGTTATAGTCACAGAACCGCAGAACGTTGTGCGTAAAATATTATTTATTACGAATTCGTTCTTTTCAACATTATGATAAAATTAAGAACAGAAGGGGAATTATTTTAATGTATATTCGTCCGCAAAGATTAATAATTGATAACGAAAAACAATTCCGGGCGGTGAGTTCGCAGTGGCGGCTCATGCTATGGCGCACATGATCATTGCACCACCTACAGTTTTGAATACTGAGGCGTGCTTCCTCCCGTTTTTTTTTTTTTTTATTGGTTATTTCAGTGTATTTTATCGTTCAACAAATTATGGTAATTTACATAAAAACGATCAGTGCGCCCTACCACCCCCACAAAAAAAAAAAAAAAATTAGCCACACTACTGTATAACGACTAGAAACAATAATAAAAACAATTTCGTTTAACTGCCAACTCCATTACAAATTATATGTTTTTGGCTTTGCTTAACGTTTATATTATTTATGTATGGATATGATAACATTGACTACTGGCCCATGCTTGAAATTGAAACAGATCCCGTAAGATACCAGTATTCCGCCAATGTTGTCACAACTACGACAAACACTGACTGGCCTACGCTCGAAATTCCTTCGGTGCCAGTAGCCAGTATTGAGTTAATACTGGCCACCAGTATTAGTTTTCCAGTACCAATGTTGTACTGGATAAATTGAGGCCATTACTATACCCGTAAGGGCCAGCCAATTTTTGGGTTGTGTTAGTACAGGCGCGGTACTGCGCCCTTCGTGAGTGTCGGAGTAAGTCATACATTTCCGATTGTGACTGAGTACGGACGGGCAAATACAATTTTTGTGCTAGTCGCGAATGCGCGTTTGACCGTTTTATTCTCAACTACCGTTTATATAATGGTGTTTTGGTGCACAAACGAATATTGCTGTCTGCCGGATGCCGATGGAGAATATAATATATATAATATATTATTATAGTACATTATAATATTATGTATGTATTCTGTCTTTTGATTCTCTCATCTAGAACATTGGCACACACACACACACGCGAAATTTCGGTTTTCTTGCGTTGATTTTAAGACATTGTTGAAATAAATAATAGATAGATTTCAGGAAATGCATATTAGATGCGTTTGCGTAATTTATAACGACATGATATGGTGAAAAATATCGATTTAAGGGGTTCGTAACTGACTTACTTAAAATACGGGCACGTGAAAGTTAGTATAAGTATATATATATACATAACATTATAGTAAATTGAGATAAAATCGTACGTGGTGGTTTACGGATGTCCCAGAGGCTGCAGGACTTTGTGGAGTGGACCTCTTGACACGTCACGCGGCGGACATGCAGAGACCTCTCAATGTCAACTTTTTATTATTCGTCTTGACAACCAAGATTCAGTATTCGTCAAGAATGCAAAAAAATATATATAAATAATAATAATAATGAAAATTGAATCGTAGATAATAGTATATTTTTTTTTTTTTCGAAATTCCGCGATGCAACTATATACCTATACCCAAACACTTTTGTCATAAACCCGTTGGTAAAAGAACAATAGTCGTAATAACAACAACTTGTTAAAGACTACGTGTAGTCAACAGAAAAGTCACCTGAATTTTTTTTAATTTAAAAAAAAATAAAAAATGAAAATAAAAATGGCGTTCCGGGTTTATGATGTGAAATATTATAAGCGGATAAGCTATGTTTTTTTTGGCAGTCCACTTTTGGGCGCGAGTTTGTATAAACCCAACCTACCTGAGCTGTCGTATTAAATTTGAAATAAGTCGTAAAACAATCCGGATAAAGTGATGTTGATTTTGCGGTTTTATTTATTTTTTTTACTAAAAAGCATAAGTACCTTTAAGTTTTCGGCAATTTCTACGACAAAATTTACAGAAGACATAACAGAGAATAAATAACAGTATAATTTATTTTCGAATAACCGAATACCATGTAATAATAATATAATATACTATGTTATTAGTTGGAACTTTATTAATTCCGAAAAAAAATGTTTAAAAATAAAATTCGATCATAAAAGGGATGGCATTGAAATTTAAAACCCCCAAATGATACGAACTTGAAACGAGTACCTGTGCATATACAAAATTTTATTCCTATACTGGCTTCATTCGAGGGTCTGTAGAGATGTCCAATGCTAAAAGACACTACCGCCAACACGCAACAGCAAATTTAATTCCCCAGTTTGAGCACGTTCGGGCCGGAGGGAGCCGCTAAGGTATCCAAAAGTAGTGGGAAAAAGAATGTACAAATATACAGGGTGTCCAACAGTGTTATCCGAATGCTGTCAATATTGGTTATTTTTTCAATCGGGTATTATTCTGAGGGAACGTAAATGTAGAAAAAAATTTAAATTTGAATTTTCATTCTTTAATCGCTGAAATAAAAAAATATAGTCTTTAAAATAGTCAAAATAGCCATTTTGTAAAATGTACATTAATATTCGATTAACAGTTCCTTAGCCGTTTTAATTTCTAATGAAAACTCGCTTATTGGAAAAAATTGTTTTCTTTGACATTTTATTACCTCGAATTACGACTATAATTCGCTCTCGCGTAACCTGTTAGTCTCGTTTTTCACACCTTTCTTTGGATATGAAAACGGCTATTACTGAGAAACTATAGAACTCTGTAAGACACTTTATACATACCTTATGTTGGTTATATATATATAATAAGTATAACGGACACATTGCTAATTTTTTGTTTAAATTTTAATTTTTCTGAGAGATTTCGTGTTTGATAATATTATAGTTTTGTTTTCGAATTGCACGCCGATTAACACGTATTGGTTGTACGTCGGTCCGTTTCATACTTCTAAAAAACGCCTTGAATACTTTTGTCTTCAAAATCATTACACATGCCTACTCGCTTATTCGTATTTCGTTCTGTTCTGATCACAAACCCGCGCGATTTCAAACGATCAGGTTTTGTTTTCGGTTTTATCATGCCAATAAACGTTTCCCTGCAAATAACATTATGATAATAGACGGTCGGAGCGTTGTATAATTTAATATTATTGAACTAAATAAGTTATGCCGCGATACTCTTACCGTATGGTCGGTCTTGGGTCTATTCCCGTCGTATTAGCGAGTTTATAACGTTTTCCCGTAATTCTTCGGACAATTTTGAATTTTGATGTTTTCTGTATGATAAAATGACTTAACAGAGCTATATCCGAATTCTCAGCACTTTCTGAATAGCCGGTATAGGTAGGCAGTCTAAAAGACCCGATGGTAGCGTTAAATTTTTAGTGTAAAACTCAGTTTCTGAAAGTTTCTCGTACGCGCATAAATTATGCAGAATCCGGAGGGGACCTCACGTGGTTAATGCATTTAGCATTTGAATATTTAACGCGAAATTTGAATTATCACGCGGTATTTA